TTTTTTTTTTGGGGGGGGGGGAGCGGTATGCACCCGCGGTGATGAGATGCCTGAGTAATTCATGGGCAACACTCCTCGCTGCCTGCCCCGAGGAAGCCCGAGTGACCGGCCGGGGGGTGCGGGCCGCGACTGAGCTGCCGCCGGGAGGAGGGCGAGGAGAGCGTCTCTCTCTCGGCAAACAGCGCCGAGGCCCCGGGCAATCTCCCTATCTGTGTTCTGGCGTGCCCGCGCCGCGCAGCTCCGCGCCGAGTAGAACAGCTGGCAAACCTTGCCCCCCCCCCCTCTCTCTCTCCCGTCTAAATCCCCGTCGTCCTCCCCGTCTACACCGGACCTGCATCTGCTCCGTTGTCTCGTTAATACAAGGAGAAGGATGCCCGGGACCCTCGACCTCGATTCCGGCAGCGGCGGGAGGAGGAGGGGGCATCCCCACCGGCCGAGCCCCTGCGAGCGACGGGATAGGCCGCCCGCGCCGCGCCGCTGCCCCCCGCCGGACCGGTGGCCTACCCTGCGCTGGCCGGGCGCTGTGGCGCTGCCCCCCGCGCGGAGCGGAGAGGAGCGACTGGACAAGTTTTATTTGTATTCATTCTTTTCCCCGCGCCGGATGGAAAAATGTGAGTCGCAGTCGCAGGAAAATGATATTGGCCGAAAAGAGGAGAGAGAAAAAAAAGAGGGGTAGGGGGAGATAGACAGAGGAAGCCGAACCAGAAAGGGAAAGAGGAGACAGCAAGCGACACACTTGCAATAAAGTCAATGCTGCAGGACTTTCCTGCAGCGCAGCTGAATTCCCCCTCTCCAGCCACCCCCCCTCCCCCGAACTGGACCGAAATGAAATCGGGGCAGCGATCGCAAAGGACGTCCGGTCCGCGCGATGCCCTGTCGGAGTGCCGAAGAGACATCCCCCCCTCCCCCACATTTTCATTTAAAAAAAAAGAACGAAGAATCTTTATATTCCTCGCTGGGCACTGTGTCACTACTTACCTGAGGTGGACACCTCCCGCTTGCGCTCCAGGTCGGCCTTGTTGCCGACCAGCACCACGCCGCGCGTCGTCATGTACTCCGACTTCCACAGGAACAGCAGGATGTCCTCAGCCGTCTGGAACGTGCGCCGCTCCACGACCGAGTACACCACCACGAACACGTCCGGGTTGTACGTGGCGCAGAACGCCTCGGCCTGGAGCACAGAGAGGGCGTGTGACGGGGGCGATCCTGCTGCACAGGGACGGGAGGGCGGGGCCCCTCCCCTTCTGCTAAGCAGCACAAGGAGGGGGCCTCGACGTGTAAGGTCCCGGCGGGTCCTCAGACGGAGGCCGCGACCAGGGCTATAGGGTGGGGGAGGGAATGCTGTCGTAGGTCGCGTGTGCTGGCCCCGACCCTGCTGCGCCGGCTATCACAGCCACATCTGCACCCCCCCC